GTATACTCTAATCATTTTGGTACAATCAACCCAAAAAAATGTGACATGCATCTATAGGCACAACATTGTAACAAACTTTATCTTGTAACTTGTCTTCAATTGAAAATTCCATCAAGCATCTTTTATCATAATATGTTTATTCTCATTTTTTCAATAAAGAATATGACTGAGAATGTATCTGGGAATGAGACTAAACTTGTCGTTCATTGATAATAAGGCTGCATTTGTTTCCTTTCACGGTGCAACAGGTAAGAAATATGTTGTAACGAAGCCACCGTTGCTCACTTATAGGCTCAACCTGAAAGATCTATCGAATCACTAACATCTCTTCATGGTAGGTTAAAAGCTAATACCGCTCTATGGCATCTTCATTCTCTCATTTGTGATTGTCCATCTATTCAACTACTGCTTGCTCAGTGAAAGAGATCACCATCTTGCTTGGGCAATCAAACACAATGTATCCAAAATTGTGGCACTTAAAAGATGCCTTGGTTGGAATAAGTTTGGGAGTACTTAGTGGTCTCCACCTTTTCTCTACTCGTTTGGGAGTACTTAGTGGTCTCTTTGGGAGTACTTAGTGGTCTCCACCTTTTCTCTACTCTGGACTGGTTTCTCCTCAAAAAGGGCCTAATGGTGTCTTGGTTGGAATAGGTTTGGGAGTACTTAGTGGTCTCCACCTTTTCTCTACTCTGGACTGGTTTCTCCTCAACCCTAATGGTGTACTATTTCAGCCTGATCCAAGTTTTGAGCTTTATTTGTAAGGTGTGGTGGTCACATATTGAAATTCCTGTTTTCCCACCTTCAAAGTTAAGGTTTGTACATCAAATAGAGACCAATACAATGGAAATTTCACCGTATTACTTATAGTGTTTCAATCATCAAGTTAACTTGCCACTATATGCTCCTTTTTGTATATGATACATCAAAATAATAAGTTGTTTTAAGTATACATTTACTGTTTATTTTTTATGATATTATATTTTAAAGAAGGATATTTTCATGTTTTTTGTTGCAAGTATATCAATTTTAGGCATTTAGAGCAAATGTAGCAAAAAGGATTAAATTTAGAGCCAAAACAGCGAATTTTGTGATTCTGGCGCCTAGAGCGTCACTTTACAGAGAGCTGACGCCTGAAGCGTCATTTTACAGAGAGTTGGCACCCGAAGCGCCAAAACCCAGAACAGCGTTGTCCTAAGCAACTTAGCGTTTGAAGTGTCAGAACCGGTGTCTGAGACGCCAAAGACGACTTTTTATGAATTAAAGCGGTTCGGGACGAATTTTGCACGAATTTCGAAGAATCCACTTGTTCTAAACGTCTCATGGAGTGATTCAATGCATCTACACACTTTGGAAGGTTGGAAGGTTCTTTTATGAAGTTTCTTTTATGAAGTGATATGTCTCTTGAATCAATAGACATATCTTTTGGAATTCAAAAAGGTTGACTTTTGGATAGAATTTTGGAAGGAATTTTGAATTCTTTTTTGAATGAGATAGACTCTAATAAAAGAGAGGGAAGTCTAGGGCAAGAGTGAGGCATGAAGGGGGGTTCGAAAGAGGCAATTGAGGCGTGAGAGAGAGAAAATCAAGGGTTTGGAGATTTTCTTCTAGGTTTGTAAAAGGAGAGGGAATGTGAGAAATTTCTTCTTCATTACATTTCTAAGGGAGAATTGAGAGAGTTTGTAAAGAGGGAAAGTGCTTGAAGAGAACTTCTAGGGATTTGCATGGGAATGATTGTAAGATAAGTTGTGTCTTTTATTTCTTTGTTTTTGTAAACTTGTTTTTATATATGAAATTCATGTTTTGTTGTTTCCTTCTCATGAATTCTGAGTAGTCTTCTTTATCTTTCTCCCTACAATGAGATTTGGTTTTGTGAAGAAGTGATTTGTTTTATACGGTTTAAAATATTAATAATTTGTGATGATTTGAACTTTGATCTTCATTTATTTTTCGATCTAGCCAATTGAAATGTTAATGAGTTGAGAAACATATGATCCGAAAGGGCTATGATTTCTACAACATAGTGAATTAATTTGATTCCATGGGAGAGGATGTCATCCATGGAAATGAACGCAAATAAATAGGGAAATATACTTTGTTGTATGCAAAATTGGAGATTTTAAGGTGACAGATTAAAATCTCATATTTGGTCCAGTTGATTGAAAACTAATGTGAGATTGTTAGCCTTCATGTGAGGGAGTAGTGGGAGCTCTAGAGTGGCAGACGGTATCCTCTCAGCATAACCACGAAATTAGGGATTAAACTCTGGATTAGTCAATGTTCTTTATACACTTGAAAGAGGGTAAAGAATAGGATTGCTCTTATTTGACACAAAATAATTTTTATATATTTTTAAATGATTTTAATTTCTTCACAATCTATATACTCATTATAAAATGGATGTATGTTTTATTAAATTTGAACTCTTCATCACAAAAACTTTATTTAGATTTCATAAGTTTGATTTTGAAAGTTTAGTAATTAGTTTAAATAACTTAGTTCTTATCATCTGCATTTTATTTAGCATACACTTAATTACTATATATTAAAATTTCGTACTTCAGTTTTGTGGTTTGAATTGTGTTTTACGTTATAGTCATAAGATTTTATCTAAAAACAATTATAACTTCCCTGTGGTATTAAAATCTAGAACTCAATTAGAGTCCTTTTATTACTTGAGTGATATGTATACTTGCGTTATTATTAGAGGATTCGGCAGTTTAAAAATTCTTAAAAGATAATTATTTTTATTAAAGTTACTTTTGTTGGGTTTACATTGCATATTTATTATTATAACTGTTGTATATGTTTTGTAATATTGAAAAATATTTGCAAAAGTAACACACAAAAAAATCTTAGTGCGGGTTGAGTTTTATAAACATATGATGATAAGGCGGGGAAATATTTATGATGCATCTCCCTTTTTATTTTGGACCTAGTAGTAATTTTATTTTTTCTCATGCTCTCGTAGACGCTTCAAATTTTTCCATCATAAAGACGCACACTTTTTTAACTTAATAGTGGCTAACTTTATCCTTCTATCAAAAAAATGTCATTGTACTCAAAGATTTGTTCCACCATTTGAAGCACTCAATGAATTCATCGGGATCTATGCGAACTGTTGAAATTTAGTAAATCAATCTTAACTCCAAAATCTTGAAATTTCATGCCAAATCATCGAGGCATTAATTTTTTATCACTAGAAACTTCTTGGTAAGAAATGATTCATATCCTCTTCTCATCCTAGTGAATTACCATTATGACTATGGGTGATCTCCGAGTTGTCCCTTCTCAAACGCAACAAGTCTTTGTTGTGATTGGAAATTTTCCAATTACATATCCTCCATAGTGTTCTCTTGAATACCTCGTTGAGGGTTTCTCTTTGGCAACCTATTGTCTCGTTCTTCCAACTGAAATCTCGGCTAAGAAAAACGGTGGTAGGGTTAGGACTAAGTGGATGATGTGAGGATAATTTTTTTGATGAGATGATAGATTAGTTTATTCGAAATTTTGTTTTGGGAGTAAAGGAAAATAAATCGCTAAAATTTTAGAGTTCATTGAGCTTTGATACCAAATGACACTGTTCGAGAGCTCCTATAAAGTGTCTAGGAGATGGATTTAGCGGAGATGTGGTTTGGAAATAGCAAATGAATGATAAATATGTGAGATCAGCAACGTTTGAAAAAAGGAAAGCCTGGGCTCTTCCTCCATATAGAGCTATGATAACCCCTTTCAAATGCCGCCAACCTCACATATTATCATTCTTTTGCTATTTCACAACCGCCTCTCTGCTAAAGCCACTTCCAAAACACATTGGGCCCAAAAATGATAACAAGCAAGCCACAATATTCATTTGCTAAAGATTTTTATTCCTTGATTTTCTTAAAAAAATGTCAACAAAGCCGAAAATGAGAACACTTAGTTTATCATGCGTACAGCACCTCTAGTTCTGGACCACAAACAAAGTCAACTCCATCAATTGCTACAAACTACAACATTTCAATTGGAATGCTTTTGGTAGAACCATTCGATAATATTCTTGGATCAAACTCCATATAAAATGTAAACTTAAAATATTCTTCATCCTCACTGACAATCTTTGTTGGTGCTGTCTTTGAGAGCACCACAAAATTGTCTGAGTCCTCAAGAGTCAAGCCTCGGTTCTTCCTCCGTTTGGAACTCTATACAAACACCATCTCGCAGCTCAACCACCCACTATCATCAACCTGGTCGCAATAATGAAATAACTGATACGATATAGTGAATCGGGAATTAACTGGAGTGTGGTTGAGTGGTACTTTTCTACCTTATTTCAAGAATCAAGACTAAAGTGAACACATAGAACGATCTAAATATCAGATTTATATAGTAAAGATTTTAGTTTCAGAAGTGCAAATTCCTCGAAGCGAAAAATAAAAATTTCCGATGGAAGATTCTTATTATATGATTTTCTTGAAAGGATGTCAACAAAGCCAGACATAAGAACATTTAGCTTATCAAGTGTAGAGCACCTCTAGTTTTTTACAACAAACAAAGTCAACTCCATCAATTGCTCCAAAGCTGTATGTTTCAATTGGAATCCTATTGATATAACCATTTTAAATCTAAAAAATAAGGGAAACTTGCACAATTCTTATATATTTACATACCTCACACCTAAACTTTCATATTTACACATATAGCACTTTGGTGTTTTAAACCTATCCATGAAAAAGTGTATTCAATTTTAAAAGGTGATAATAGTGCTATTTTAAATTTTAGTGCAATGTGTGTAAATATGAAAATTTAGATTTGAGATATGTAAATACATAAGAATTGCATGCTATGTATGTAAATGACACAAAATAAAATTACAAGAAAATAAAATGGAATGTCCGCCGGCCTATGCCTACAAATAGGCATGTAGTTTCTTGGCACGTTTAAGACAACTAGCAATTATCTGCAATTTTCTAAAATGATGGGAAAAAAACAAGAAAGGTACCAAAACCCTGAAATAAGCATACCGAGGTTTAACATTGTAATTTTTGTTCCACACAAGCTGTCGTGTAGCCATAAATCTCATCCAGACAAGAATTCCAGCAAGACCCAATAAACCAGCATCTCTAGCTTGGTATAATAGGTCTGATGCAATATTGAACCTACTCAAAACAAGATGAATATGCATGCCCTTAGTCAAAAAAACACTCTTAAGTAACATGAAAAAAATTAAATAGTGAGATACAATTTCATACTGGATCGGATAATATTCAACAAACAAAGAACCTGCAAAATTATTGAAGCCTTGATATACCTTGGACAATTTACATACATACGCACTCAATTCCTAACTATTTACACCTAAACTTTACTTTTAAAATACATACCATCTTATCTGTGCATGAAAAACTGTATTTCATTTTTTAGAAGTTAAAATTATGGTATTTTTGAATGTGATATAAAAGATTAGGGTGTTATAAATGTAAAAAGTAAAATTTAGGTATTAGATATGTAAATTCATAGGAGTTGAGTGGTATGTAAGTAAATACCCCTTATAACATTTTGAAATCCTACTAGTAGGGAAATATTAACAAGCAACCTATCAAGTTTTTAGATCAAGAAATGAAAAGATGACAAGGTAAGACTTGGCTACATTGATAGGCCAAAAAATGGAACAGATGCAATAGGTAAATTCTACCGTTTTAAAATGGGAAATTTCATCAAAGCATCACAACAAACTTTAGACTAATGACATGAAAATTTGAATGTAAAAAACCTATGCATAAACGATTTCTGCGCTTCACTCTCCAGCTGAGATATCTTGTCTAGCAAAGCCTTTGCAGTACCTTTGCCATCACCAACATCCTTTAAAAAGCAGTAAGTGTAAAAGTTGTATATAAGACAATTTTTACATGATTAAACTTATTAAATATAGGGGCATTTGCATACATAGCACACAATTCTTATGTGTGTATATATCATGTTATGAAGTGGAGTCTATCAATTGCTCACTCAAAGCTCCCAATTTTACCGATCAAGCTTTAGGGTGAGTTTGCTAGAGGAAGACAAGGGTGGCACCTGTTTAGTATTGAGGGTGCTGCCCCCAGACATTTTTTTTATACCTAGCACCAAAGAGGTGCGTTGCCACGCCCGGTACATGTCCTGGAACAAAGTGCTCGATAATGTGGTGCACAGGTCTAAGAACACAAACATTCGACAATGTAGTACCTGGAGGTCAAGGCGCCCTTCCCAGTGGAGCGCCGCTACACCCTACAATAGCGTCAAAGCGCCAGTAAAAGAATTCAGCAGTTTGAGGATCTAAGTTTGGACTTCGCTGCAAGATTTTTGTGTGTTTAGTTGCATTTTGATTATTCACTTGTAAGAAAGAAAAGTGTTTCTGAGCTCCAAAAGGTGTAGAAAAACTTGAGTGTGATGTAATTCGTACAATTCTTATTTTCATAGTAAATTCTTTGTTGTGGCTTGGGTCCATAGTTTTTTTCCCATTCACACATTTTTCCACATTAAATCTTGGAGTTATTTTATTTTGTGTTTTCTGGTTTCGAATGATTTTGCTCAAAGTTTTGCTTCAGATTTCTCGAATCTATTTTCGCAAAATCTCTCACAAGTGGTATCAAAACAGAGCTCCCGAAGACCTTCAACCTGAGTGGGGGTAATGGTCGGCGAAGCGAGGTATAAGATTGAAAAGTTCAACGGTTCGAACTTTGCTTTCTGGAAAATGCAAATAGAGAATTTATTATATCAAAAGAAATTGTATTTACACTGGATGTAATCGCCAAGAAGTTGGAATCAATGAGTCTGCAAGAATAGGAAGTTCTTGATAGAACCGCTCTAGGTTTGATCCGGCTTTCACTTTTCTCCTATGTTTTAAACATTATGAATGAGAAGATTATTGTTGATCTCATGGCTTCACTAACAAGAATGTATGAGAAGCCTTTGACTTCAAATAATTTCTTTTTTATGAAAATTTGTTATATCAAGAAACTCTATTTATCACTAGAAAGAATCACCAAGAAGTTCAAAACGATGATTCCGAAAGAATGGGAAGAACTTGATTGAACCGCT